CATCCATTACTGAGGGTCTTAGGTCAGACGATACGATTATCAAATCGATCATCGACTTCTGTGCACAAGCCTCCCGGTACCGACACTTTACACAAACCGACACTTTATAATGTGCTTTGCCGCATTAGGCTCTTGTGACAATCAATTCTGTACTCTGATCACAGGATTAAGCGTTCTGTATGAACCCGAACCTTCCTTTCTATGGTGACCTACCAATTTCATGACTAATAAAGCATAATCATTTTGATTTTCAGGGCTTGAAATCGCGCTCTTTACACATATTATCTAAGAAAGTCTTGCTTTGTTTATGCCGGAGGACGGTGCTTATACAGATCATTCTTGGAGGAGGTTATTCCATGGGAACAAATCAAGTGGGATTTCATAGTGAGCCCTGTTACATAGATAGCCTCTTCTTGCGAAACAAAATTATCAGTCAGTGCGAGAACTTTGACACACTCCTTATCTCGACTTCTGGTCAGTGTTCGCAGCAGTTCTTCACCAGGCGGTGTATCAATGTATTAACACTGCTGAATTTTATAGGCGAAGATAAGCCTGATGGAAGGTCTATGCATGTTGATATGTTGCATCGGACTTATCATTCTCTTACAGTCTCGGCATAGTCGGTGCAGTTTATCAAAACGTTGGGCTCTCTTCTTTGTTGTCCAAAGTCATGGTGGACCAGGTAATGGGGGACAGTAATTGTATAATGAAGTTTTTATACGCAAATGACATATCGCTGCTGAGATGCTGCTGTCAAGTGGCCTAGTGAGTGAGATTGGCGCTAATCGGCTAGAGGTGGACGAAGACTGTGAAAGAGCCCGCTGCAATCACGTCACGAAGTGGTATCACGTTAGAAGAGGTGGGTTACGCCAAGTACCTACGAACATTCTTGGCTATTTTTGATGCCATTAAATTCGAAGATCACCATCTTGAAAGCATTGCTATTTATTGTATTCATGTGCAGCCTGGAAGCATAATGAAGCGCGTCTCGACAGCCCAATGAGTTTGTCTACGAAGTGTGCTTAAAAGGCGATGGTACCGCTGGATCTTGGCCGAGAAGCTTCTGACGACAACTGGACTATGAAATCTTTCAGAAGTCAGAGACCGGAGTTCTTCTGAGTTCGACAAAGCGACCTAACGA